CCAGAGAAGAGGACTCCTTCTCATGATAATGAGACTTGAAACTAAGTCGTGACCCACTAGCATTTTGCACCTGTCTTCTTTTCCTTCTATATTGTTCTCATTGTGGCCACCATTGCCACTATCCTCACTGTCGCCTGGGACTTGGTGTGATGAGAAAACACCTCAAACCCCAAACGGGAATTGTAACAAGAATCAAAAAAGATGAGATTATTCATTATCTCATGGAATTTGTTGCATCGGATTACAAAATGCTCTGGTCGAAGGGTCCCTTCTGGGGGTGAGCAACTCTTCTCCCTACCTCCGTACCCCATCAGTCCCAGGCTCGCCTCCCCTCGCCCCAGCTTTTCACTATAAGGCAGATGCTGGGTTCTGTACAATGCAGTCCTGAGTCTCCTTGAAGAAATGGATCCACGAAATGCCAATCTGATCTTGTCACCCTGCAGCCTCACCGCAGCCCCTGTTAAAACTCCTCGGGGTTCCCAGATGCATTCGGATACGGTCCAAATCTCACCTGCTCTGTGAGCCCTGCATGATCTGATTTTAGCCAACTCAAATGCCCTATGTTGCGCACTGGCTCATTTCTAGGTGTTTCTCTCACGCCCCCATCTATCCTCTCTGTGGACTATCTTCCGGTAAGTCAGCTGGACCCTCACCATCCAACTGGGAGGAGCCCCAGTCTCTCGGTGCTCCCCTTTACCTGGAACGGCGTGTGTCCCATGAAGGCGTAATTGCTTGTCATTTGTCTCCTCCCCACAGGGCACCTTGGACTTGCTTTTCTCCCCTGTCCTGAGAACAGGGCCTGGCCTACATCCCCTCCTTTCTACAGCCACTGCTACCTCCACCATGCCTCCCCTGAATTCAAACTCTTCTCTTCCGGCCCAAGGCTCCCAGCCTCTCCCCTAGATGATGCCAGCAGCCATTCCTGTGGACCACTTTCCTTGTCTCTCTGCCATGCTTAAAACCCTTCAGTGGTTTCCCTTTGTTCTCGGGATCAAATCTTTGTCCTTAGCGTGGCACTCAAGGCTCTGCCTGACCTTGCCTTACATAAAATAGAGGAGATAAAATAAAATCCAATAGAGGAGAGGATAGGAATGCTATGGAGGGGTGGAGGAGATTGAGGGATAATTTGCCTACAACTCAAAAAAATGTGAGGGAACATTGTTTGAGAATCCATTTTTTGTTTGCACATGGAGTGTGTTCCAAAAACTTCCTATGTATCAGGGCCCTGGGTGGGCTGAGTATTGCTGGTACAGCTGGTGGTTCCCAGACTTGTGGATTTCGCTAGGAAGTAGATTTTTCTTTTTTCTTTTCTTTTCTTTCTTTCTTTCTCTTTCTTTCTCTTTCCTTCCCTTCTTTCCTTCCTTCCCTCCCTCCCTTCCTTCCTTCTTCTTTTAATTTGGGGACAGATAGGGTTGGCAACCTCTTATTTTGCAAAGTAAGCACATTAAATAAAACGCTACCATCTCTTCACGAAATAAAGAACTCTTGCATAGCACACAAAAATCCATGATTTCAGAATAAAGGTCAGTACTCTAACTTTATGGGGGGAAACTTGCCACAACAACCTCATTTTTCTTATTTCGCCTGGGCTTGGTAAAGACGCGTCTGAAGTCGGGCATCTGGGGAACTGTTGCCACCCCACAGTGCTCCCCCCCACCCCCCACCCCTGCCCCCGTAGCTAGCTGTTTGCTTTCCCATTGCTATGCACGGAGTCTTTGTCTCCAAGCCGGCCTGCACCGTGGGGAGTGGGAGAGGAGCGTGTGGCGTCCCTTTCCCACCTGCTCTGGAGCCAGGCCCCACAAACGAGTCTGGTTTGAGGGATTAGAGCCCAACGCAGTGGGAGGAGAGAGGAAGCGGTAGAAGGGCTTCTGTAGCCCTGAACATAGCTGAGCTGCCTTGGGCCCCAGGGGCCAAAGGGTGAGCTTGAGTTGGGGCAGGGACTTTGTCCCTGACCGTGCGGGGCCTGTGAGCTCCCTCCCCACTCTGGTGCCCCAAAGATCAGTGGGGGGGGGCGGGGTTTACCAGAAAATGGCTCTCCTGCCGTGGACAGTGGTGCTTTCCAGATGGGTACCTTCAACAGCGGTTTTGGAAGTGAGAACACATCTTCCGAAGGATTTGGTGTGCAATGAGGAGGGGCCAGAAGGTTGGGAAGCGGCAGAGTGACAGGCTAGCCCTCAGAAGCCTACCACAGGTTAGTGTCAGCCGTCCCAGCCCCATCTGTGCCTCTCCTGTGCCCCCAGACCAGCCTGGTGGCCATTTGTCCACACCCCACTTTTCTGCCTGGGTGAGAGCTGAGGAAAGGTGGGCATTTCAGGAGGGGAGCTTGTCAGGTCACATGGCTTTCCAACTGGTGACAATTTTAAGGATATAAGAAATTCAGGAAGGGGTAAAGAGTAGCAGGAGGGTGAAGTCAAGGCAGGCTTGGCCAGGAGCTGGTCCCAGCACCCATGTGCTGCGGTAGTAGGGAGCGTAAGTATGTATGTACAGATGGTACGGGGTGGTGGTGCAGAGAATCATGGTTTCTAAGTGTTGAATTTCCTGTATGTAAATCAACTCCATGTTCAATTGCAATGCAGTGGAGTAGCAGGATTACAGGAAATTCAACACTGTATGATCTTTTCAACAAATGAAAAACCCAAAAACTACCCTTAGTTTGCAGGCTCCAAACAGGCAGGTGGGCTGGATTTGGCCCACAACTACCCCTGAGCTGGAGAATAGTTTTGCTGCACATTACATCGGGGCCAGTGTTTAGCTGGTGGGGTGTGGGCATCTCCACTGCATGTTTACCAGGTAAAGCTCCAGTTGGGTGTGACTGTCCGCTGCCTGGTGACTGTCTTTTCCTCACCTCCTCACGCCTCCCCAGTGTGGAGGCGTAGATAGGTGCTGGGGTTTGCCCCTCAGAGCCTGCAGGGATCTCCCGGACCATGTCTAGTGCCCTCCTGGTACAGATGGGACCACTGAGGCCAAGGCACAAGGGAATGGCCCAGAACACCCCTGAGTTGGTGGGAAAGTGGGGGCCATACTTGCAGCCTGGAATACCTAGTAACTGCTCAAGCTCACAGTAGCCATATTTCTTTAGCTGTTACAAGACTAACAAGAACGCCTCTGTGCTGTGTCTCAGGTCACCCACTTTTCACCATATCAGTCAACCCTCAGCACAACCTTATTGGGTCCAGCCAGGATCTCAACCCGGCCTGGCTCCAAAGCACATGCTCTTAGCCATTCACTCACTGGGGTTCCTAGCGGTCCTCCCGCCTCTGACAGTGTGGGACTGTAGCTGGTTAACTCCCCAAACTCAAGGAACCTTCATTTTGCTCCTTTTCCCTCTTTAATTATTGAGGCGATACATGAAGTTGTGAGAAATACAAAGCAAGGGTAAAATGCGTGGACCATGCCGTGTATATAGTGTGTGTTCAGTAACTACTAGCTATTTCCGTTAATTCTCCAGCTAGTGTCATAGGTAAGTACTGCCTGAAAATCAGGACACTCACTCACTCCTTACACGTTTTGTTTTTCCAGCCCCAGGATTCAGAGCAACGGATGGAAGTCAAACGGGGAAACATGTCGGCTCTAACTCAGGGAGACCCCCGCCCCGTACTTCGGCTCACTCACGGGGCGGGAGCCACCGCGGGGGGGGGGGGGGCTCTTGGAGGTGCTGGTGGCGCAGGGGGAGCAACCGGGAAGCCTGCCGAGGGCACACTGGGGGCAGGTGGTAGTAGCCACCCTCTAAGGAAGACGTGGCCCAGGGTAGCCCTTGCCGAATAATGGCAAGGGCAGGCTCGACGCCGCCGCTCTGCCACTCTGGAGAGCAGTGGAGCTCTCCCTTTGTCCTGGAAAGCCGGCTGCAGCTGGAGCCCGTCTTGAGGGTGTTCACGTCAAAGCCTGCGGCGGGCATTTTGCTGTTCAGGGCAGTGTTGGAATCTGATTTCGCCCAACCCTGGAGATGGACTCCGTTTGCGGCGGTTCATGGGAAAGGACTGCAGCGCGTCTGTCGATCACTGAGCACGTTTTCACATCGACTCTGCAGATGTGAACTTGCGCTTTCATCGCATTCATCCATCCAAGCCTCCGGAGAGCTGACCCTGTCTCCCCCCCTCGTCCTCCCTCCCCACCCCGGCCCGTGGCGCTGCGGCTCCAGGCCGCCCCCCCCCCTCCCTCTCGCCTGCCCCGGCGCCCCCGGCCTTGGGCTCATTTCCTCGAGACGTGCCGCTGTTTACCAACAGCGGGCAGCCACGAAAACGGCCCTTTTCTTTCATCTCCGGACGAGGTTCCACTACAGTTTCCTGCAGGGATCGGCGAGTGGGCGGGCAGCCAGCGGAGTGAAAGCAAGCTCAGTCACAGCGACTGGGGCAAGAGCACGGGTGCTGCGTCCTGGAGCCGCAGCTGGAGGGGCTCCCAGGGAACAGCCTTTTACCGGGAGGACGCCAAGTCCAGAAGGGGAAGGGCCCTGTCCAAGGTCACCCGGCTGGCAGAGCGCACCTGGCGTGTGCGCCGCCTCGGGTCCTGCTGCGGGCCGGGAGGAGTCTGGCGCGCCGAGTGGAAATCACCGGACGCCCTGACCGCCCGCGCCTCCAGCTCCTCGGCCACTGTTGACACATTGCTCCGGGACCGCAGGCTCCCCTCTCGGGGACTGGGGAGAGGGAGCCGGCGGGCAACCGGCAACGCGCCGGCTCTCGCCCCAACCCAGGCCGCCTCACCCTCCGGGTGCCCACGGGCCCCGCCCCTCGCGTACCAGCCCGCCCCCAGGCTAAGGACCGACCCCCAGGCGGCAGCCCCGCCCCTCGCGCAGCGACCCGGCCCCCGAGACTGCAGGCTCGCTCCGCCCCTCGCGCCACAGTCGCAGCCCCGCCCCACCTCACCTGGCCCCAGCCGGGCGCGCCCCCAGCACCCGGGCTCGTGCGTGCCCCTCCTCCGCCCTCCCGGGGCTGTGCGGCGCGCGCCGGCTCTGGGCGGGGTCCTGCAGTGGCGGCGGGGCTCCTCCTCCTGCGGCTCCTCCTCCTCCTCCGTCCCAGCGCCTCCCCGACCTCCCCCTCGGGCACTCTCGCGCTAACTGCGCTCCTCCGGGGCCTCTCCGCCAGCTCCCAGCCATGGTGGTCTGGCGCTCGGCGTTCCTCATCTGCCTCGCTTTCTCCTTGGCCCCTCTGTTCCAGAGAGGTAAGGCGGGCGGGGGGCGCGCGGGGACCCCGCCCTGTGGGCTCGCGGGGCGGGGGCTTGGCGCCCCGCGGCCCCGTGGTGCGCATGAGCGGCCCGGCCCCCGCCTTGCTGGCCTGCGGCGGAGGCTTGCTGGCGGGTGGGCGGGGCTGTGCGGGGTAGTGGGGGTGCGATCCCCGGGCCCGCGGGGACTGACCTTGCCGCGTCCGTGTGGTCGGAGAGGAGAGACCGGGCTAGAAACAGCGGGATAAAATCCCCCTTAAAATCTTGAACAAGGTGTCACCACCGGTGACAACAGCTGTCTCCAGGAGACTGCTTTTGGGAAAACCTTGAAGAGAGCGCACTCATTCCCTTGAGCGGAGCTTCTCAAAATGTGTTTTGAGGCCACCTGCAGCAGAAGCACCTGGGGAGCTTCCTGGGCGTATTCCTACCCCCCTTTTGTCAGGATCTCTGCGGGGACGGGATGGGGGGGGCGGCGATATGTTGTAGGTCTAACCAGCTCCCCAGGTGCTTCTGGTGCCCGCCCCAGTTTTCTGGCCGTTGGCGATTTTTGCCAAGGAGGTGGAGAGAGAAATGCTGTCGAATCAAGGGAGCAAGTGCCCTAAAAGACCCTCAGAACACCAAGTGTGGTCCAGGGCCTTCATAGGCATCACCTGGGACTTGTCAGGAATGCAGCACCTCAGGCCCCGCCCCTGACCTACTGAGTCAGATTCTGCAGTTTAGCTAGATCTCTTGGTAATTCGCAGGCACATTTGAGAAGCGTCTTAGAATAAATGCAGTGCGTAGTTAAAAATAGGCCCTCCAACGTGTACAGACAGAATCTTCTTACACTTATTTATATCCCATTTCCACATCAGAAAAAGGTTTGAGGAAAACACTGCAATTGAGCACAGAGTTGAGCTCTGAGCTCCCTGACGAGGAAGGCAAATTCAGCTAGTGAAAAACATGAGCTCAGCAGAAGCAAAACTTTGTCCTTGTACTGAGTTCTAGTGAGATTTATGTTACATATAGGGAACACTGGAAAACAGTAGGCAGTCTAAGGCAGTTTTGCAAAAGATGCAGAAATGTTTCTCACGTGGGCAGCCATCCTGGACTTGCTACAAGAGCCATTCAACATTCTACAAAGGTGTCAGGCTCTGTTCCAGACACGGATGATGCAGCAGTGAACAAGACTAAGACTCTGTCTTCATGGAGCTAACGTCCTGGTGGGGGGAGAAGACAAGCACAAACGTCACAATCTACATAATATATTGACAGTGCCATGAAGAAAAATAAAGCAAATACAGGGTTGTTGAATTTTCTGTTTCATTTTGCTTCTTTGGGGTTAACATTTTAATTTTGTTATGATGCATTTGTGGGGAAAAAGTCTAATTACTTGATTTGCTTGCATCTAATGATACGGCAATTTTGAAAGTGGAAGCACAGAAAAGTTAGAAAAACGATACTCCCTTCAAGGCTATCTTCTGGAAGTCTTCAACATGATTTGCACATTGAGAAGGGGAGGAATAGAGGTAGGTCTCAGATTTTCACCATCACGTGTTTTACTAGGTGATTTAGGAGGTGGTGGAGGAGACCGAACCAGTGCAACCATTTTACAGATGAATCGGAGGCACAGGGAAGTTAGGAGGTAACTTGCCTCAGGTGGCAGAGTTAAGATTTGACCCCAGGCTTATCTGATTGCACAGTCGCTGCTTCTAAGCACCTGGAGGCTGCGCTCCTGCCTCGGGGAAAGTTCTCTGAACCTTGCTTGGTTTGCTCCACCCTATTATGCCTCACAACAAAGGCGTCTTGGTGGGGGCACCTGGAGTGTGTCACTCTCAGATCTGCGGCCCTGCTACCAGCTGCCACCTCCTGAGTGCTTGCTGTGTACCAGGCACTTCACATATCTTGGTTTTAGTTGCCTCAACAATTTTGCTGGTTAGGTATTAATGAGGGGTCCCTGGGCACAGAGCTTGGAAGAGATTGAGCCAGGATCCCACCCCGATAAGATTGCTACCTAGTGATCTTTTTAATTGTAATTAAGAGAACTGAACCGGAGGAAGCTTTTGCTTCAAGGTGGGGAACCTGCTTTGTGGCTCTTTTGTGCAAAGTAAGGTGACAAGTATGGGCTTTGAATTGCTGGTCTCTTCTGGGTATCCAGACAGTTACAGTTTGAGAGCTGCTGTGTCAAAACGAACAAACACAGAGCAGGTGCTTAGTTAGGCATCTGCTGCCTCTCTTGGAACCCCACAGTGGTGGATTGGGTGGGCCTGCGCCAGAGCCATTTTAGTCCTGGTCCTCAGTAGTGACCTATGACCGAGAAAGACAAGCAGCCCTCGGAAAGCGCATAGAACCTCGAAGCATGATTCGTGAAATCCCCTCAGGCTCTGGCAAGTTGAGACAGACTTCAGGCTTCCAGAAGTTTAAAAGAGTGGTTACCAAGTCATCCCCGTTCTAATTTTGGATGGTTTTTTAGTCCAGTGTGTATTTTACTAGCTCTGAAAAAAATCCTCTGAGGACAAACATGTTGCCTGTATGCACTTAACAGAAATAGGAAGCTGATCTTTTATGCGGTGGGGAGAAGTCTCAGCGGTGCAGGTGGGCAGCAATGATAATGAAGCTTCCATTTCCCGAATGCTTTCCATGCACCGGGCCTTCAGTGCGCCACACACATTTACGCCTCGTAACCACCCCGAAGGTTTGGCACCATGACCCATCTCCTTTTCTTATGTCCTCTATGGCCATTTGCATATGGCCTTGAAAAGTAACTGGGTGGTGGGGTCCCTGGGTGGCTCAGTTGGTTGAGCATCAAACTCCTGATTTCGGCTCGGGTTGTGATCTCAGTGTTGTGAGACGGGGCCCTGCATCGGGTCCCACGCTTAGTGTGGAATCAGCCTGGGATTCTCTCTCCTCCCTCTGCCCTTTCCCCAGCGTGTGCGCTCGTGCGCACTCTCAAATAAATCTCAAAAAAAAAAAAAAGTAACTTGGTGGTAACCTATTTCTCAGATGAAAAATGAGTAGCCCAGTGAGGTTTAGGACTTGAACTCAGGTATGTCTGAATAACCAAAGCAGGGGTCATGAATGCAGATACCCCCAGGGTTGGGGCAGGTCATAGAAATGTGGAAAGTGGCCTGGAATAAGTGTGATGAATATGTAAGCAAGCCACCGGCTGCTGAGTACCTGCTCCCTTAAAGAGACACAGTGCAGACCTTGAAAATAATATGCTAAGTGAAAGAAGCCAGACACAAAAGTCCACATATTATCCCATTTATATGAAATGTTCAGAGATGGCAAATCCATAGAGACAAAAAGTAGATGAGTGGTTGCCAGAGGCTGGGGGTGGGGGGCAGGGAATTGGGGAATGAGGAGTGACTGCTTAATAGGTGCAGTTTCCTTTTGGGGTGATGAAAATGTTCTGGAACTAGACAGAGGTGATGGTTGCACAGCCTTGTGAATGCACTAAGAACCATTCAGTTGTACACTTTTAAAGGGTGAGTTGTATGGTGCGTGGATTATATCTCCATTGAACGAAAAATTCGCTGTAGTTCAAGCAGAACAAATGAGAGTGGAGGCAGCCTGTGATCCCTGGATTGGGGCTGATCTTTGATCCCTGGGGCTTGGTCGGGTAGAAGAGAGACAGGAGAGCAGAGTGGGCCCCATGTGTTGGTGGCGCTGAGATGCTAGGCTGGGATCCAGGCAGAATCCCTGTGGGTCTACTCGGGATATTGCTTATGAGCCAGACAGGCCATAGGGGCACGTGCAGGCTTGGCTCAGAGTTGGGTAACCCCCTACCTCCACCCCCGAGGCTGTGCACCAGGTAGTCATTGCACTGGACTGACAGGGTCTGGGGACAGTTTGCCTTTTAGGGTCACATGTTTTGATTGGTTTTCGGTTCCGTTCCTTGCTGTCGCAGGTCACACCCCCCTCCCCCTCCCATCATTTTGGACACCAGGTAATTAAAACATGTTTGTTTGTTTATTTAATGTGCCCCCCCCCCCGCAAATCACCCAAGAGCCAGCCTCAGCAGGTACTGAGGAAGGGGCTGAAGCTACTTCCAGGAGAGGTGGGGATGAGGAGGCCTTTTGGCTGCTCGGAGGGGGTGTGGGGGGGGGAGCTGGTTTGGGTACTGGCGAGTTCAGGAAAGAGACCTTTCAGGTGCATTGACTTTCCTGGGTTCTTCCGCCACCTGGTGTTGGTGCCTTTCCTGCTGTGTGTCCACCCCCTACTCTTTGCACTTGGCATGTAGTCCTCTGCCGCTCTCCGTGTGCTTGGGGAGGCTTGGCTGCAGGGGATCCTGTCTCCCAACCCAGACTCCGCTCTCCCTGAGTCTTGCTCATAAGTTCACTGATTGGTCAATCTTGGTTTGCCTGTAGAAGCTTTACGTCATCCTAAACGCGCCCCTAACCGAAACGTGTGGGAAATCCTTGGATGAAAGTAGGTGGTGTTCCAGACGGGGGTGGGTGGGAAGCCCTAATCTCTGGCACCTGTGACTGTTTGGTTACTTGTAAAGGAGAGTTAGGGTAGCTAATGAGCTGCATTTAAATAAGATTCTCCCGGGTTATCCTGGCCAAGTGAAAGACGGAGCCTTTTAAAGTTGGAAGATGGAGGCAAAGGAGTCAGAGCGTGTCAGAGAACAACGTGATAGAAGATTTGAACCAAAGATGGAAGGGCCAGGAGCCAAGGGATGTACACACAGCCTCGAGAAGCTGAAAAGGGGGACGGACTCTCCCTGAGAGCTTCCAGAAGGAACGTTGCCCTGCTGACACCTTGCTTTTAGCCCAGTGAGACCTGTGTTGGACTTCTGGCCTCCAGAACTGTAAGATTAAAAAAAAAAAATGTGTTAAGTCTGTCGAAATTCGTTGTAGCAGCAAGAGCAACTAATGGGAAAACTAAGGGGTAGATACTAGCCTCCTCTTCATCCATTGAAAAAACGAGCTTGTGATGTTTTCTTACATCGTTTTGATTTTGCTACCTTAAATCAATTCCCACTATGCTGAATTGAGGCGTTTAAATGTGCAGAAAAC